TCTCTGCCTGCCTTGATCCCATTTTGCTTGCAACCATCCTCAGGATCCCAACAGTTCCCTGATGAGATGACTTTGCAGCCAGAACCCTGCCGGTTTCAGCACGTTTCCCAGGGATTTTTCAGTCTCTCCTGGAAAAGGCCTGAAGACCCCTCATGGAGAGCCAGGAAGCATTTTACATCAAGATGGTAAAGGGAATTTTAAAGGTGACCTGAGAATTGAATAAAAAAATCCTCTTATTTTTTTTAACTTGCTTTATGAATGCAGTAAATTAGTCTTCACAGCCACAGACAATCAGCAAACAAAGCATGGTTAAATGCAGTGAAGTATGCTTACGTTTGACATTAGCAGCAAGTGTATAAAGTGGGGGTAATGAGGTGCCGGAAAGAAATGCCAAGAGAGGATGCAGAGTCATTGTTGCTGAGGGTTTCTAAGAACAGGTTGGACAAACAGCTGTCAAGAAAGGTTTCAGTCGAGCTGATTCTGCCTGGCGGCAGGTGTTGCTCTATCTACATGACCTCTCCAGGTCCCTCCAGTCTTATGCTCAGTGATCCTGCGATGCTTCTGCTCCTTTTCTCATCAGAAATGTCAGGCCTGCTCTTCCATCCCTCAGCCAGAGCTGCTGCCTCTGCCTCTGCAGAACAGGTTTATGAGCTTTGTCTTCTGTTCACTGGGGCTGACAGAATGGTAATTCGTAGTAGTGTTCTATGTTTTTAACAGCTGCTACACACACGAGGGGATATATATGTATATACAGATACAAACAGGCAAAATATAGCATTTTAAAAGGGAAAGAATAAAAGTCATTGCCCTTTCTATCTATTTTCTCTATTTAGCCTGTATTTCTTCCTTCCCAGTTGTATCAATACCCCACAAAACCTTGCAGGACAATGAATACCCAGATATGAGACTAACTCCACCCTGAACAGTGTTATCTGACTTCCTGCAACCAGGGTAAGGAGAAGGCAAAACGCACTGATGCTGTTTCATGTTTTTCTTCTGTAGGTGTCTTTTAAAGGCAACTCGGGTGTCCCAACTGTTCTACCATGTCCTCAGGCATCAGAATTCATATTTATTTTCCCTGTCTCCTCCCTGGTGCTTTGTCCCTACAGCCCAAGCAAAGCTATTCTATGATCTGTGGCCTCAGGGAATCACAGAGTAGAGACTTTGTAAATACCTGTGGGATTCTGTTTCACCAGCAGCACTTTTCCCAACCGCTGCCAAACTAAAGGAGACAGGAACATGGAAGCCAGCATTTTTCTCTCTATGGTTGCTACTGGGCTATTTTACCCTCTGCGTTTCTGAGCTGGTTCCCAAGGAAGATGGTGAGGTGTGCTGGCTGGTTTAATACCTGACCCCCACGTCCAGCAGGCACAGGGGAGATCTGCTGGCTTCCAAAGGTGTGAGGAGTGGGGCCAAACACAAACACAAGAAGTGATGGTTGAATTTAGGAGCTCACCATAACCCACTTTGGTTTTTGCTGCTCATCTGCAAAGCATAGGCAAACAAAAGTAAGATGTCTGCACTGCTAGCACAACCAAAATAAATCAGTTTTTCCCTAGTTTTCCTATAGAAAAGAGCACTGCTAATGGCAGAGGAGTGAGGAGTGACATTATGGCAGGGTGACATGTCCAAGTAACAGGGTGATACATCCAAGTAACAGTGACAATAGCAAGAGCCATCTCCAGAGAACAGCTCTGCCACGCTCCGGGCTCCTTTTCCCACTGACTGTCACAGGGAGGGACCCAGTGGCTTAGAAATCCTTTTCAAAGCCTGTCTCATGCATTTCTTTACAGCACTCCAGCACCTGGTTGAGCTCATCCATTATTCCTTCCAGCTGCTTTTTGCTGTGTCAAGGCCACAGCATTGAGTGGGCTGAATTTATCCCCCCGAACACAAGCTGAGTTAAAGGGACAACTTGCCTGTTTCTTTTCTTACCCAGCCATTGACTCGGCCCAACATCTGCTCTCCTATTAACCTTCTCTGGCCTCAAAGCACTAATGATCTTTTATGACTCAAAGCATTACTAAAGCAGTTAGCATTCTATCAGCAACAAGGGCGTTATGGGAAGACAAGAAAACCCTCCCGCTTTGGTCTGCTCCTTTTGCTGTGGTGTAATTTGATTTGTGCATTAAAATCCAAAGGGATGGGAATATCCCGGAAAGCTCAGCAATAAGTAACGCAGGCATCTCTGTCACCAGAAAGGGATAATCAAAGGAGGTAAATCAAAGTGCCCCCTTCTTAAAAATCATTTTCCCTTCACCCCCACCGAGAAGCCAAGTGCTTTTAGTTAACTTTCCCTGTGGTGCTTTTGGGAATGACCTCAAATACTGCAAGATGAATTGGTTTGATTGATTCAGTTGGGGTTTTTTTCCTACTCTTGGTCATGAATTGCTTTCTACCCACTGGTACGACATAGCATTGGAGCTTAATTGTAAGTAGCATTGTTACCTATGGATGCCATATGGCTACACTACGCAATGATTACCAGGTTTGCTGCATTGTAAATACTGCAAATAAGCATGAAGCAGATGGGAGGGAAGGGGCAACTGTTCTAGGGGCGAAATCCTCACTGGCTTAGCGCAGTAACAAGTCATGGAATGTGAGAAGGAATATATTAAGAAGGACAAGAGGTGTTTTGAGAGATGCAGCTGTACTTTGCATGTGGTTTTGGTCCCCTTCCCACTGCAAAGAGAAAAAGAGAGGATTTCACTTTTCATTTACAAGGCGTTTAGGGCTCTGCGGCTCCTGGTGGAACTAGAAGAAAGGTGCTATAGAAGGAGAAATGTGACAGTGCAGACAAAAAGTGGCCTTAAAATGGCATATTTGCTAGCACACAGATGCAGCCTGATGGGGAGCTCCCAGGTAGGAACATCTCCAGGCTCTTCTCTGGCTGTGAACTCCCTTTGCTGGCATCTGTGATGCAGAATGAGGCTCTGCAGACAAACCATGGGAACTAGAAGGCCAGGAGCCAGACTATTTCAAAGGGTGGCAAAGGAATTAAGGCTCTGGCTGCACCAACACAGAGCGGGGACTCAGCTGGTTACTGGACTCCCTGAGACCAGACCCAGGTTCCCAGCCCTGTGAAAGGGTAGGAAAACAAAAGCAAAGTGATTTGGAGTTTTAAAGAAGCTTTCAGCTCAAGCTTTTACAGAAATGAAGCCATCAAAGGGTAAGAGAGGAAGTCCTTTCACAGCTAAGTAACTGGTTAAAAGACAGGAAGCAAAGGGCTTCTTGAGGAAGAGAAATTACAGATGGGATATCCCAGGGTCTGCACTGGAACCTGGCTGAGACAGCATATTCCCCAATCCTCTGAAGAAGGGATGGAGGACAGAATAGTAGATTTTACAGATCATACACATACAAACGTTGGAAATAAAGAGGGAAGAACAGCTGCAATGGCTCAACAGAATATTCATGCAGCCCACTGCCTTTTGTACAACAGTTATCCTAACCAGAGTGTGAGGGAAGAACAAGGCTAAGGCAAGCAGTTCTGTCCCCACAGCTCTTCTCCAAGCCCCCAGTACTTTGTAGCTGAGGGACTTCCCAAGTCAGTGGTTGCTGATAGGAGGTTCTCTCCTCCTCCCCTCAGGAGATCTCTCTGCCATGGACTTGTCACCTTTCCCCATTGATTCACCCTCTTAAGCCCACCTAAACCTTCAGCAGTGATAATTCACGGTTCTGAAGAGCCTCACACTAAACTACAGGCATCTCCTCTCTCTCTCGCTCCATGCTCGCCATTTATTAGCATCGTTTGATGCCCCCTAATGCTTGCAGCGGACAAGACAGTGCCAGGCTGGTGCATCCTCCCTCCAGGCCCCTTAGGACAGCCAGCACACCAGCACATTTCCCCTCCACCTGGCAGTACGTGTCTACATTATGAGAATCAAAGGTTACAAAGGTTTACGTGGAGCAATGAAATGGAAAGTGCCAAAAAATGCAGATTTGGTTAGGAGCGACAAAAAGCAGTGCTAAGTAATGTGGATTGTTGTGGCTAAATTTGCTGCTATAGCTCAGCTGCTAGCTGGGAACAGCTGCGGCTTATTCTCTGAGAGAGCCAAATTAATGTCCGGTAGCACTCAAATGTGCTAATAATGTCATAGGAAATGTTAAGAGAGTAATGCACCCCTCTGAAGTATCCCATTGCCCCGTGGCATATTATATCTGCCATATAATATATCGGAACCTCTGCTCTGCAGACAGGCTGAGAGAGCTGGGCTTGTTCAGCCTCGAGAGTAGAAGGCTCCAGGGAGACCTTAGAGCAGCTTCCAGTGCCTAAAGGGGCCCACAAGAAAGCTGGAGAGGGGCTTTTGACAAGGGCAGGTGGGGACAGGACAAGGGGGAATGGCTTTAAACTGACAGAGGGGAGACTGAGATGAGATGTGAGGCAGAAGTTCTTCCCTGTGAGGGTGGTGAGGCCCTGGCACAGGTTGCCCAGAGAAGCTGTGGCTGCCCCATCCCTGGCAGTGCTCAAGGCCAGGTTGGACAGGGCTTGGAGCAACCTGGTCTGGTGGAAGGTGTCCCTGCCTGTGGCAGGGGGTTGGAACTGGATGGGCTTTAAGGTCCCTTCTAACCCAAACCGTTCTGGGATTCTATGATATAAACCCAGTGTGCAGCTGGCAAAAGGGTAAAGGGGAACACCTCTGGGTCAGGGAACAGGGGCAGCAAGTCCAGCTAGAGTCCAGACACTGGTGGTCAGTGCTGGGATCCAGCCCCATTCAGCACCTTCATTAGCGGTTGCGATGGAGGGTCTTGCTGCAGCCCAGGCACCTTGGCCAGGCTGACGGGCTGCTCACAGAACTCAACCATGGGGGAGGCCAAGCCCTGCAGCAGGATGAACCCAAAGCACCGGGAGGCGCTGGAGCTGCCCAGCCGGAACCCCGCGGCAGAAGGGGAGACTCTGCTGCGCTCCTCAAGGGATCAGAAGGGGGCCCCCGCCCCTCCAGCAGGCGGCGCCGTTCGCCTCCGCTCAGCGCATGCGCGGGGCCGCAAGCCCTCCCCTCCTCCCCGTGGCCGGAAGAGTCCGTGTCCCCCCCCGTGGCGGCCCTCCCGCCATGTTTGCGGAGCTGAACGAGCTGCTGGACGCCTCCCCGCAGCGACCGGAGACGGTGAGAGGGAGTGATATGAGGAGGCAAGGGAGGAAGGAAGGAGTGGGGCTGCCGTGGCGGCCGTGCGGGCCCACGCGGGGGCTGCTGGGAGCTGCAGTCCGAGAGCCGCGCGGTGCATGCCGGGAGAGGCGGGGCACCGTGAGGCGGTGGCGGGAGCGCGGTGTGGTGGTCGTGGCCTCGGCCTCCACCGCGTCGTTAACAGGCGGGGGGCCCTCCCCTTCGCTCTGCATTGTTTCCCCGCTGCTCCTCAGAGGTTAATCTCCGGTATCCGCCGCTGCGGAGGGCCCGGGGCCTGTACCCGCAGCCCCTTGGTGTGTCTGTGCGTGGTCGCTGCCGTGTGGTGGGTAACAGCAGAAGCGGGGATGAAAATGGGTACCCAGCGCTCCTCCGGGCCCTGTGGTGTGCTCTAGAGGTTCCTCTACCTTCAGGCTCCTCAGTTAATTCAGTTCACCCATGCAGGCTTTGTGGAAATGGAATCGCACTGTGACTAAATGCCTCTACATAAGAGCTGTGAGGCACTTCAGGTAAAAAGTTAATAAAATATAAGTGTGTTGTACATCACTCTATTTTTCCTGATAGGTATTAGCACAGTGAAAGCAGGTTTGGGATGATAATTTATTTTCTGTGTCTGAGTTTACCCCTGTATTTCCTATAAAGTTTATGGTGGGAGTAGGGCAGTGTTCCCCTCAGCTGGAAAACACTGGTGGGGTATTTTTGGTGCTCAGAGGGCTGGAGCACTTCTATGGAGACAGGCTGAGAGAGCTGGGCTTGTTCATCCTGGAGGAGGCTCCGGGGACACCTTAGAGCAGATTCCAGTGCCTAAAGGGGCCCAAAAAGAAAGCTGGAAAGGGGCTTTTGACGAGGGGCTGTAGGGATTGGATAAGGGGGAATGGATTTAACCTGGTAGAGGGGAGGCTGAGATGGGGTGTGTGGAAGAAGTTCTTCCCTGTGAGGGTGGTGAGGCCCTGGCACAGGTTGCCCAGAGAAGCTGTGGCTGCCCCATCCCTGGCAGTGTTCAAGGCCAGGTTGGACGGGGCTTGGAGGAACTTGGTCTGGTGGAAGGTGTCCCTGTGCATGGTAGGGATGATGGAACTGGATGGGCTTTAATGTTCCTTCCAACCCAAACCATTCTGTGATTCTATAATTCTATGATCTGGCCATGGCTTGCTGGAAATCAGCATCCTGTTATGCTTAAAAAACATCAGCCCTTTGTGAATCTCTTCTTCCCATCTCCACCATCCTGATTTCTGCATCTCCACAGGTGGCTTATGACATGTTCAAAGTGCTGACAAATGCCTTCACTGCAGGGCTGGCAGGTGGATGAAGCTGCCGCCTGTGTGGGTGTATCTGACATGTCACTGCTGAATGCTGGTGACACCCGCTTCTGCCCTGCCAAGGACTTTGGCAGTTTCCAACAAGTAGCTGCAGCTTCTGCCGTGTAGCCTGCAGGTGGAAAGAGCCCGACAGCAAGAGGGAACGGGCTGGGGCAGATGGATGAAGGGCCTACAAGAAGGCTTCTCCTTTGCAAATTCTTCATCCTCAGCAGCATCTTTCTGGGCTTGAGAAGGACACGAGGAAAGGGGAAGAGAATTGCACTGAGCATCCATGGTGGAAAATCGGGGGCTGTGGGTCTTCTACCTGCCAACAAACAAGGTGCTGGTGGTGGGGCCAGGGCTTACCAGCTCCTCAGCAGCATTCCTTTTCCCTGGCAGCCAGGGGAGGCTTCCCACCACCCACACCCCCATGGGTCTGGTTGCTTACAGCCAGCTGCTAAACAATTTGATCAGCCTGGTCTGTGGGGATGTGTGCAAGAGCTGCATGGACTTTGGAAAGCCTTGCAGATTCCTGCTGGCTTTGCATGCCTTCCTCCTTATGTCAGCATGGGTGATAGATCCCTGATTCCTGTATTTGTGGCCTTTGGAGTTTGTAAAGGCTTTGGAGCAGGTTTGTGGCCACAAGCTGTGGAGAAGTTAGTAGGTTTGGATTGCTCAAAGAATGACCATCAAAAGTATCAGCAAGAGCAGATTTAATAAGATATATAAAGGCATGACTTAACAAATTTGATTGCGAGGTTCACTCTATTACTTATTACATGGATGAAGCGTAAAAATTAAAAATCGAGGCAAAATCCAACTAAAAATGTCTTGATACAGAGACCAAAGGCACAAGGTAGGGAAGATCCTCATGTTGAGTCACAAGTTTTAAAACAGACCCCTTTGCTTTCTGAACTCCTGAAAGAGCAGAAGTGTGTCTGGATCTAGTCTTAGTCTTAGACTTGGTCAGCAGTTTACATGTAAAGGTTTACAAGTTTCACCACAGAGGGAATTCATACACAGTTTCCATTTAACTATACTTTCCAGTTTTGAGGTGGATCTTACAAAGTTTGACAACAGAATTTAATGCCATTGCTATAACAATCTGTGCACACATACCTAACAACATAAGGCTAGCTGTTGAAAGTTTCTCTTGAGAGTCAGTGAAATACGTCCAATGTCTCAGCATATCTCAGTGGGTGAGGGTTGAGTCCCAAGGAGTGGAGGAATGTCAGCCCAGGTCCTGTCTGTCTCTGACAGGCCTTTGATCATAGCAAACTTGAGCTTTTGTGACTTCTGAGAGGCATCCTCAGAGGGAGATGCTGGTTGCTGCCCACTGTGAGCTGAGAGAGCTTGTAGGGTCTCATTCAACATAAAAAGGACATGGAACTGTTGGAACAAGTCCAGAGGAGGGCCACGAAAATGATCAGGGGACTGGAGCACCTCCTGTATGAAGATAAGCTGAGAAAGTTGGGACTGTTCAGCCTGGAGAAGAGAAGGCTGCATGGAGACCTCATAGCAGCCTTCCAGTATCTGAAGGGGGCCTATAGGGATGCTGGGGAGGGACTCTTCATTAGGGACTGTAGTGATAGGACAAGGGGTAACGGGTTAAAACTTAAACAGGGGAAGTTTAGATTGGATATAAGGAGGAAATTCTTTCCTGTGAGGGTGGTGAGGCACTGGAATGGGTTGCCCAGGGAGGTTGTGAATGCGCCATCCCTGGCAGTGTTCAAGGCCAGGTTGGACGAGGCCTTGGGTGATATGGTTTAGAGCGAAGTGTCCCTGCCCATGGCAGGGGGGTTGGAACTTGATGATCTTAAGGTCCTTTCCAACCCTAACTATTCTGTGATTCTATGATTTAGGACCACTCTTCATAGGTTCACAACATCATTGGCTTTAGTCGTTATCAGATTTCTGTCCTGGATGCAACCCAAGTCGGTAGTTACTAGAAATAAATAATACTCTGGTGGCAGTGGTACCATTCCACTTGGGGTATGATCAAGGGAAGGAGTATTCTAAGGCTGTCAGGGGACTCTCATGAGAACCACCCTGCAGTCCTGCATCCAGCTTTGGGGCTCCCAACATGAGAAGGATGTGGAGCTGTTGGAGTGAGTCCAGAGGAGGCCATGGAAATGCTCTAAAGGCTGGAGCACCTCTGCTATGGAGACAGGCTGAGAGAGATGGGCTTGTTCAGCCTGGAGAAGAGAAGGCTCTGGGGAGACCTTAGAGCAGCTTCCAGTGCCTAAAGGGGCCAACAGGTAAGGGGCTGCCCCATCCCTGGCAGTGTTCAAGGCCAGGCTGGATGGGGCTTGGAACAACCTGGTCTAGTGGAAGGTATCCCTGCCCATGGCAGAGGTTTGGAACAGGAGAAGCTTTAAGCTCCCTTTTGACCCAGGCTATTATGGGGTTCTATGATTATCCCTGCTGTCAGTTCCCACCTTGGCCAGAGAACAGAAGTCCCTGGTATGGTCTTTACCTCCCTCCTTAGCTGTGACAGAATACCTGGTATGGTCAAGTGACATTTCACTACCCAATTGATTACACAAAGGCCAAGGATTGTGGGAATTCCTGAAATCATAGATCAGCCAAGAGGATTGGGGTGGGTGGGGGGGAGGTGTGCCATCACACAAGCAGGATGCAGGAGTTTCCTGGATCTGTTGCCTCTCTTTCTCGCTTTTCTCCCTCCCTCTCTTCTTTCTTCCCTCCTTCCTTCTACCAGCTGTACTTTGGTGCAGCTGCTGCCTTTGGAGATATTTGGTTTGGACACTTCCACTCCTGTTTAACTGGCATCTTAAGTGTCAGAAAGAAAAGGTTTGAGTGCTACCTGAGCACCTGCAGTGTGACAGCAGAGTGAGGGTTGACAGGATTTAAGGGTTTGTAACTGGAAGATTTGTAAAGCAAAATAAAGTGTGCTCTGAATGATAACATCCTGCTGTGTTCTGCAGAGGAGAGAGCCTTTGGAAAGTTAGCAGATGAGGGAGGGGACTCAGTGTCTGCTCTTGCAGGGGGCTGCTGTGGGGAGCAGGGATGTTGAAGAGGAGGGGGTAGTGCAGAAGATAAACCTCTGAACACTTGAGCTTGTGCTGTTTGAACCCAGAGACTCCTCCAGGCTTGGCCATGGAAGGTACATCTTCAGTTTGCTGCTCACTGAGGTGGTACCTCTTGTTACTGTAATGGCCACAGAGCCTAACCCTTTTTTTTTGGGTGGGAAAGAGCTCTCTGGCTAAGGCAGAGCAGCACTTCTCTACCCTGGCTTCTACTTTGCATTCTCTGCAGCCGTCTTCAGTATTTGCTGTTCCATTAACAATGCTTTTGATTTTGGGCAGTGAGGAGTTAATTCGGATAGATGGCTTGTGAATTGCCTATGGGTATATTGCTTGTTGCTGTAAGAGGCTTTTCCTTTTCTTCTAATAGATTGGGAAAAAAAGTGCATTGATAAGTTCTTTGTGATTAAAAGCAGCCCTTCTATGATTTGTATTGATTAAAGAAATATCTTGACTAAGGTTTTAATGGAAACAAATGCCTTGATGAGGCTGGTACTGATAACAAGCATGCACTGATGAACTGAATTAATTTCCTGTGTGATCAAAACAAGGTATATACTTTGTGCAGAGAGCTCTGCTCCAGTACACATACTCTGAGGATAGTTTTCTGCTCTGGAAGTGGCATGTTTCAGGTAACCCTGGAACAGGGGACAGGGGGGGGTGGTTTGGGGACAGGAGAAGCTGCAGCTGTAGCAGGGCTGCCGTTTTAAACACTCAGGTGATACTGCCCATGGCAGTAGGAGAATGGACAGGGAACAGTGAGTGGCTGTTGTCTGCCTGCCATATATGCCACTTGAAGCAGAAAGAGATGGAAATGGCTCCCAGCCATTCATGATGATGGTGTCCAGCACCAGGTGCATCAATACTTGGTGTACTCTGCACCAGCTGCGTGTTTCCATGTGAGGAGGTGGTTCTTGGTAGGCATAGAGCATGGTGGTCTGAGTCTAGCACAAGGGCTTTCAGCTCATGGCATGTCTTTTGGAAAGCATTAAACTCAACAGCTTCTGATGCTTTCCTGTGGGCTGTGTCTGGAGGAAGCGCTGGCATCACTCTTTAAACGGCTGGGTAGCTGTAGTGCTGCTTGTTCTCTTCTTTCTCTGCCTAGTACCTGCAGAATGTTCCCATGCCTGAGCAGACATCTTGTCTACCAAGATGGAACCAGGAGCAGTTTGTGCCTGGTGTTCCTGTTAAGTTATTTTGCTGTTTCTTTTTCAGGGTAAATTCACACTTCTGCGAGACACCAGAACAGATGGCAGCTTCCTAGTGCACCATTTCCTCTCCTTCTACCTCAGAGGTATGTCAGCAGCAGGACTCTCCAAGGCAAAGGTTTGCCTTTTCCATCTCCTAGGAGGTTCCTTCAGCATGAAGTGTTTCTATGTGAGCAGAGGGTGGTTCTGCAAAGCATGAGAAATCCTCAGATTAATGCAAAGCTTTGGGATCAGGATTTATGGATCCCAGTCCTGACTTGTTCTTGAGAATTGTTCTCTGTCTTTCGTTACATCCCATAATGTCTGTGTACCTTGTTTCATCATTAGTGCAGTGCGTGTTGTAAATCACAGGGGCATTTGACAGTAGGAGCTGACAGCAATTCCTTCACTAGCTAGGTGTTTTATAATGTAATTAAAGCTATCAGGAACACCTAACAAATAGATAAGCTGGTAGTGAGTAAAGAAACAAAGAGCCTGGCAAGTTGCCTAATTGCTTTTCTGCTAACAGTTTCACCTGTGAGTAACCTACCAGCCCCTGCAGAGTGGGTGCTGGACTCACAGACTTTTCCAGCTTTCTTCTGGCAAAGCAGCAAAGCCCAGCAAATCTGGTACCTGTAAGACTTGAAACTTAGCTCAGAGTGCTATGCAGAGAGCATCCTGCCCCCCATAACTGCCACATCCTCAGCTATAGCTTTATTCCATTTAAAATAGAAACGTGTTACTTAATGGAACAGTGTGAACTGCAGGAAGACCTGTGGAGAGCAGGTTATTGACAGTGTGAACAGTTCAAAATCATCAAATTCTAGATTGGTTTGGTTTGGAAAGGACCTTTAAAGCTCCTTGAGCTCCAACCCCATGCCACAGGCAGGGACACCTTTCACTAGACCAGGTTGCTCCAAGCCCCATCCAACCTGGACTTGAACACTGTCAGGGATGGGGCAGCCACAGCTTCTCTGGGCAACCTGTGCCAGGGCCTCACCACTCTCACAAGGAAGAACTTCTTCCTCACATCCCGTCTAAATCTCCCCTCTGTCAGGTTAAAACCATTCCCCCTTGTCCTGTCCCTACAGTTCCTTGTCAAAAGCCCCTTTCCAGCTTTCCTTTTTGGGCCCCCTAGGCACTGGAAGCTGCTCTAAGGTGCCCCCAGAGCCTTCTCTTCTCCAGGCTGAGCAAGCCCAGCTCTCTCAGCCTGTTTCTGTAGCAGAAGCGCTCCGAGCGTTTCTATGGCCTCCTCTGGACTCTCTCCAACAGCTCCATGTCCTTCTTATGTTGGGGCCCCAGAGATTGACAGAGGGCTGTGGGGTGGATTTCAGCAGAGTAGAGGTGGAGAATCCCCTCCCTGGACCTGCTGGTCACTCTGCTGGTGATGCAGCCCAGGACACGGTTGGTTTCTGAGCTGTAAGTGCACACTGCTGGGGCATGGTGAGCTTCTTGTCACCCAACAACCCGAAGTTCTTCTCCTCAGGGCTGCTTTCAATCCAGTCTCCCCCAGCCTCTCTTTGTGTTTGGGATTGCCCTGACCCATGTGCACAACCTTGCACTTGGCTGTGTTGAACTTCATGATGTTGTCACTGTCCCACCTCTTCCTGTCCAGGTCCCTCTGGATCCCATCCCTTCCCTCCAGTGTGTCAACTGCACCACATAGCTTGGTGTCATTGGAAACTTGGTGAGGGTGCTCAGTCCCTCTGTTCATGGCGCTGACAACGATGTTAAACAACAGTCCCCTAAGCAATGCCCCTTGTCATTTTCCTGCACTTGGGCTTTGAGCTGTTGACTGCAGCTCTTTGACTGCGACCACCCAGCCAATTCCTTATTCCCTGAGTGGTTCATCCATCAAATCCATGCCTAAAAGGGACAGCCCTGCCAAGGCACTGCCTCAGGGTCTCCCCACCTCCCTTTGCTGCTCTGCTGCTTGTTCCACTTGAAATCTATGTCCTGCTTTCTGGCAGGGGGAAACAACTAATGATTTTGTTCATACACAAACCATAACATCAGGTTGTCACATTCTAGGTTCTCCAAAATCATGTTTAAGTGTCAAATTTGCTTGTTCTGTGTGTTTTTCCAGTCAAGGTCACTTGCTCTCTGAGAGCCAAAATGGGTTTTTTTGGCATATCACTGGTTTCAGTAGTTCATATCACGGTCGGCCACTGGCCTCTTTGCAGTAATACCAGCAAACAGTGCCAGGAGATCCCTGGGCAAGATGGCATGAGACAGAAAAGGTGCCTCCTACTTTTCTATGTAATTTGTTATTGTTCTTTCTTTTTCCTTTTGAATTTAACATTTTCCCTAATGTAGAAATCCTATAGAAAGGTGAAAATTGAAAGCCCAGCCATGAACAAGTGACCTGTCTCACTTCAAGGACTTTCCAGACAGATCGGTAGCCTCATTATGTTCTTTGATAATATCAGCTTGCAAATTTCAAATGATAACGTGTCTTTTTGTGTTCCCTCCCAGCTGGCTGTAAGGTTTGCTTTGTGGCGCTGCTGCAGTCCTTCAGTCACTATAACATCATAGCACAGAAGCTGGTAAGTCTCTTTGCGTAGGCTAATAATTACAGGTCCAGGGAGTTTCTGTTGGATGGAAAGAAATGAGAACAGGGAATGGGAATTGCATGTGAGCAGATGTTTCCAGATCTTGATGGGGACATCAGGAGTGGTGCTCCTGCAGTAGGAGAGCACTTCTTACTGGAGAAGGGATGTGGCATAGGGCGAAAACTTAGCTGTGAGATTCACTGCAGGGGCCCCACTGGGCTCTGCCCCAGAGAGGGTAGAAAGCTGAACGGCTGCTTGCTTTCTTTGTGCTTAGAAATGTTTTCTGGAGATCAGTATTCCCCAGGCAGGCCTGGACTGGTAGATGTAGTTTCATTAGTGCTCTGGGGAAGACAGTGCCATGGTGTCTGTGTCCTATGGGCCTCTCTGTGCACCTGCAGGATACAGCAGCTGTATGGCATGGGAGCACCTGAGGTGACTTTATGCTCTGTCCTGTAATTATGTTGTGATGAAGTGCATTGAGCTGAATCCCCTGTAGATTCAGAACACCTGTATGCCTCCTTGTGCCTGCGGGCCAAGCCATCAGTTTGAGCCATCTGAGGAGCCACAAGTGCTGAGTGTGTTCGAATGGATTTCCTTCCCTTGGTGAGTCAGGCAAGGATTATGTGTATCCTGAAACGAGGAAACAGGGAAACGAAGTAGGCAGGGTTATTCCCAGTGTCAGCAAGTCAACCCAAGCTCTGGCTTTAAACTGCAGTTCTCAGCTTTTTCTGCAATGGCCAGATGTGAAATACTCTGGTTGGGAAGTCCAGGTGACCTTCAAGGTCTGAAGGGACGGGTTTTGACTTAGTCCTCCCTCTGGTTCTGCTGGAAATCCCAGCAGTGTTGCTGCTTATAAAGACTTACAGGTGCTGAAGAACCAGGTGTTGCAATAACAGTTTATTTCCCACTGTAAATGGGGTTGAGTTTTGGTGCTTGCTAAGCAATTGCATTTTATCTACTACTCAGCTTTTACTCTGTAAAAGGAGATCAGTGGTCTGAGAGCTCAGACCTAAGTTAAATAAAATAACAGAATCATATAGAATCCTAGAATGGTTTGGGTTGGAAGGGACATTCAAAGCTCACCTAGTTCCAACCCCCTGCCATGGGCAAGGACACCTTCCACTAGACCAGGTTCCTCCAAGCTCTGTCCAACCTGGCCTTGAACACTGCCAGGGATGGGGCAGCCACAGCTTCTCTGGGCAGCCTGTGCCAGGGCCTCACCACCCTCACAGGGAAGAACTTCTTCCTCACATCCCATCTAAGTCTCCCCTCTGTGAGTTTAAAGCCATTCCCCCTTGTCCTGTCCCTACCTGCCCTTATCAAAAGCCCCTTTCCAGCTTTCTTGTGGGCTCTTTAAGTATTGGAAGGCTGAGCAAACAAAGCATTCCCACGTGGAGCTTTAACTCACAGCAGATACTCAACATGTGATTGCTCAGTGGAGCAGATTCCCCACTGCTGAGCAAACCAGCCTCTTTGAGCACTGAATAGTTCTGCCCTTTGTGTTGCAAACAGGAGAAAATCGTGGGGGGAATTTAAGAGGGACAGGAAATGGGACATAGCCACCAATGTAGTCAGGAGATTCAGCTGTTAAGTATGGGATCCTTCCTGCTCTAAAAGCAGAATGGTGTTTGTTGGTGTGTTTCCCAATGTGATGAAATTTCCTGGTGCACAGCCTGTGTGTGTGCTTTTAATAGGTTCTGTTGTCATCTCCCTTGTGGAAGAGTCTGAGAAGGGAGAGAACGGTGAGGATTAGCTGCAGCACATGTGCAATGCAAATCAAAATCATTTGCTGGCTGATGTTTCAACAGAAAGGTTATTGACATGAAGGGAGGCGATAAGAAGAACAATACAGATTGCCCAGGGGAGTGCAGAGAGGTGATTAGATTTGCCACTGTGGTGAGCTGTCCCTGTCCCGTTGGTTTCAAGTCTGAGTCAGTCTTACATTAGAGCTTCACAGGTGCCCATGTAGTCTGTTGTGAATTCTTCCTGAGCTCCGAGGACCTGGAGGTCATAACATCAGTTATTTATATCTGTCTGAGTTTTCATAAGGTCTTTGCTTTAATCCTTTTTTTTTTGCCTAAACGAACACATCAGTCTCAGTAAAGGTGGTTTTTAGCAAGGTCATGTCACTCTTAAACTTGCTTAAGAATTTGCTGCTGTAGATCTCTAGTGAAGACCAGCAGGGATGTCATCTACATGGCTGCAGTAAACCCCAATTCTGGGCAGCATGCTGAGCTGAGTCATGCTGCAGTTAGGTGAGTTGCATGCCCTGCCAAATTGCCATCTGCTGTCTTCCCACTTCTTCTTCCTCCATGACAAGCTCAAGACAAGCTGTTTGGCTCTCTGTGTTGGCCTGGAGAGTTGCAGTGGACCAGGCTGTAGTTCCTCCAAAGAATCTGTCCAAGGGGAGCTTTGAGGAGACCTTAGAGCAGCTTCCAGTGCCTAAAGGAGCCAACAGCAAAGCTGGAGAGGGGCTTTTGACAAGAGCAGGTAGGGACAGGACAAGGGGGAATGGATTTAAACTGACAGAGGGGAGATTGAGATGGGATCTGAGGAAGAAGTTCTTCCCTGTGAGGGGCCCTGGCACAGGTTGCCCAGAGAAGCTGTGGCTGCCCCATCCCTGGCAGTGTTCAAGGCCAGGTTGGACAGGGCTTGGAGCAACCTGGTCTGGTGGAAGGTGTCCCTGCCTGTGGCAGGGGGCTGGAACTGGATGAACTTTGAATGCCCCTTACAACCAAACTATGCTGTGATTCTATGATTCCTAGGTTAAATCTCCCATGCATAATCATTCTTGGCAGGAGATTATGCACTTCCGAAAGACTGCAGTTGGAAGAGCTTCATACCTTAGCAATGCTCTTGTTTCTGCTGGGAATTAGATGGTCTCATGCTTGGGAGGAAGGGTCCTGGAACCAGGGTCATATTCTGTGATCCTTACAATGATGTTTGGTAGATCTGGTCCTTGTAGTACCTGGTGTATATAGAAATATACTAAGTACTTACACACAGTTGAAGTAATGCTTGCCTTACATGCTCTTCCACACAGTGTTGCCAGGTCTTACCAGACCAGAACCACCTCCTTATGTGTTAGCTAAATGCAGTGATTTATTTTTACTTTCAGGAAAAAGCTTCCCTGGATTTTTGTGCCTGTACTGCCTCTGTAATACTGGCTTCACAGTTTTCCTTTTTTGCAAATCCTGCTCTTTTCATGAGCATCTGCACTTATTTTTGAGGGGCCGTTAATGTTATTTGCTGTGTCCTTGTAGAGAATATGCTGGGCCACAGTGGCAGGAAGACTAATGGCACAAGGGCTGCTTGCCAGGTTGGTGTTCCAACCCTCATTTGTACAGTGTTTTGTTTTGAAGGAAGAACATACTTGTCCCTGTTTGGTCTCCCTCTTGCCTGTTGCCCTCTCTCCTGCCCCAGCACTGAGCTCACACATCACCTGGTCACCTCTGCTTGCCCCTGCATGTAGTTGTACTAGAGAAGGGACCTTGGTCAGTTGCCTGGTCACAGATGGTCACACTTTGTACCCCGGCTGTGTTTGCTGTTGGAGCTAATGACCGTTGCCTCACATGCTCCATTACTAGTTCTGTCTTCCAGATATTTTGCTTTCCCTAATGAATTGGCCCGTGGTGAGCAGTGGTTCTGTTTTGAAGGGATGTCACTGCTGGCAGGCCGGCGGGCCACTACGCTGCCCGGCTGGCAGCATCCCAGATGGATGAGAACAGTTGTGCTCCGTCATGGTGCTCGCAGCTCCAGTCACGCTGAGCTGCTGTTTGAGAAGCATTTCTGGGCTTGATGGGTAAATGACAGATTGCCAGAGATAATGTTTGTGTGCTCCCAGCCATAATGGAGCAGGATGCTGTGGGATAATGAAAGCTTTCAGGGCTGCTTAATACATGCTGTTGGGGTGTTCCACAGCACCATGGCTCTGCAGCAGGAATGTGTGTAGCGTTTATGGCAGTCAGGAAGGTGGTCGTTGGCCATTCTGAGTGCTTTTTCCAATGTCTTCAAGCTGTCCTGATGCTTCCTGTGCTGCTTCCTGAGGTTACTAGCTGTGAGACCAGCAGAAGTTTGCTGTAGAAGATGACTGCAGTGGGGCACGTCCAGGTCTCCATCCGATGCTGTCGCTCTGGGACCTGGTTCCCCTCTTGGAAAATGAGATTGGATTTGCTGGGTCCACCCAGGAACATCATGACATGACACTGAAGAGATCAAATTCCTGGTCTTATGTATGAGCGTGCTGCCCTTGGCTGCCTTCCTCTCATGTTGTAGCCCTTCTCTCTGTGATCAACAATTTTCTTGCTGATCTGAAGTACAGAGAATTTGTGTGTGCCAGAAGAAATGGCTGAAGCAAAGTTAAAATCAGTTTCTGTTACTGACATTAATAGTGAGTTTAGTCACTGCTGTAGCAAAGCATTTCGAGGATGCAGACTCCAAAAATTCATGAGGGGATGAGGTTTGTGAGGCTGTGGTGCTGCCTAGCCCCACTTTATGGCATGTCAGGTATTTGCCGGCCGTGCCTTGCTCCTGGCCTGCTGCATAAAGGTTCTTCTGTCTTTGGCTGGAAATTTTTCCATCGTGTGTGCTTGCAGTTGCCCAAGAGGCTTCCCTTAGCTCACTGATCCTGCCCTGCTTTCTGGCATGCTTTTAGTGAGCAAATATCACCTGCAAAAGCTGAATCCTTCTGCCTGCAGCCCACATCTGCCTCTGCTGGGCTTGGGGCTGGTGGGAGGTATGGCAGGGAGAGGAAAGGGTCCTGCATTCCCCAACAGTCTCGTTCCTGGGAATTACTGCTCCTGGCTTGCCTGGGAGAGGAGGACAAGAGAGGAGACAATTTGGATTAGATGAGGCAAGGGTTTACTGCAATGCTTGCTGGTAATGCTGTTCATTGAGAAGATGCTTGAAAACAAAAGGAATATGTCCTGAAGCGCTGGCTGGTGCCATGCCTGAGGCTCTCCTCCCCTGATTTGCATGGCAGGTGGGATCACTTTCCTCCCAGAAGCATGTGTGGAAGACCAGGAAAAAAAAGGGCAAGCTATGGGCTGATTTAAAAACTGTATCTCAGGTGGGCACGTGTCAGACAGCCTTTGCTAGTTGAGGATGCTTGTCAGAGTATCCCCTGGCCACAGTGGAAGATGTTGCCTCTGATCCATTGTTTCCTGATTGCTGTAGACAGTGTTTTCTGGCACCAGCTCTGATGAAAGGATCTCCCCCCTTATATTTCAGCTGGGAAGGAAAGCAGTGGAAATCTTTTTTCTCACGAGTGCTGAATGTGTGGCAGCTGATAAGCCTTGCAGGAGCTGTGGGTTAATCTTGATGTAAAGGCTCTCTTCCTTATCCACCCAGACCTTCTCTCTGGAGGTGCTCATGTGGAAATGACCTGACAAAGCAGCTGAGCAAAGCCCTTTGTAGGGATTGTCTCGCTGATCAGATGTTTAAAGTGTGGCTTTACAATAATTTTATATATATATGTATATAAAGAGAAGAAAAGGGTTTTAAAATGTTGGCACTTACATATTCATGTTGGAATAACAGGAAGATCGAGCAGGTGGAATATGGAAGTAGAAAGCAGTAGGCAGAAGTGGACACATCGCTTTTCTGCCTTTCCCTCTTGTGTGGCAAAGAGAGCCCAGTGGCTCTCAGGAGTGTCATGAGGACTGGGAAATGCCTGGAAAACTTCCAAGGTCTTTTCAAAAGAAGGTGTTGGGACAGTGCCAAGCACAGCTCTCTCTGTTCAGTGCTTTAACATCATGGGGGAGTTGCTGCTTCGAACCTTCCTCTTGCTGGACGACTCAGACTCTGGGCTTAAATGTCCTGCAGCTCCCAGCACAATTGCTTAGAAAATAAGCAAATACCTGTTATTTTCTGTGATGCTTAAGAAGTTCCTGCTGGTGTGTGCTCCTTCAGCATTCAGGCAGAAGCCAGTCCTGGCTTAAGGCAAGAGCTCCTGCCCTGGGACTTCTGTTCCTGGCCACTCCCACTCAGCTACCCTCTTCAGAGGTTTCAGAACCTCACAGCATCCCGGAGGGACATCTCTCAGGGGATATAGGAATTGCTTTCTCAGGATCCTTGTTTCTGGTTCCCTGTTCACCAGTTCTGCCTGTCAAGCAATACTGCATCGAGCTAAACCTTTAAACCACCTATCTCGCCATCTTGTCCACCTACCTGCTGCATTGCACAACAGCCCTATTTACAGCCTGCTGAGACACTGTGAATCTTGGCATTAATGCTCCTTGGTTCCATTTTAAGAAACAACAGTCCTGTTGTGAAATGTGGGAAGCAACCCACACCAGAAAGCCAAGCACATTTACACTTCTTCCTGCTGGGAAATGCACAGTTTGGCTGAGCTTCTAAGATAGTGCACATGAGATAACTTTGTATGATCTTGTCAGTAATAGGTACTAAATTTTCCCACTGCTAAGCTGAGGAGCTATATAATAGTTGGCAAAAGTAGCCTTTGCTGATGAGAGAGGAGTTCATGACCTAGGTCTCTAGTTGGGGTCTTTAGCATGTCTGCTGCAGCTCTGCCAGGGCTTTCTCTATTGGAGCTGGATGTGCCCAGCACATGGCTCTCGAGGTCAGTCTCATGATCAAGCAGGGCTGAAAGGAAGAAATCTCAGCTTGAGTTTGAGTCACGACCTGCTGTGGATGGAGCAACAGACTTCACTCATAAGAAAGAACTATCAATGTATTTATTGATATACAACAGCGATTTGACAAAGTTTAATAATAAATACTAAGCTGACAGAAATGAGATTTAGATACTAGGAAGAAGTTCTTCCCTGTGAGGGTGGTGAGGCCCTGGCACAGGTTGCCCAGAGAAGCTGTGGCTGCCCCATCCCTGGCAGTGTTCAAGGCCAGGTTGGACACAGGGGTTTGGAGCAGGAGTGGAAGGTGTCCCCTGCCTGTGGCAGGGGGTTGGAAGTGGATGAGCTTTAAGGTCCCTTCCAACCCAAACCACTCTGATTCTATGAAGCACAACAGTGATCTAACAAGATTCAATGGCAAGGAACATTTGAGTGTTTACTAAATGGAGACCCTCCCATTGAGTCATGAGGTTCAGAAGTGACCCTCTTGCTTTCTAAACTCCTTCTCAGAAAGGAGTCTAGGTGCTCAGACTTCATCTCAGTCTTGGTCAGTGGTTTATGTCTAGAGGATTATATATGCACAATCTTTTACATCACATAAGATTTCAATGTGTAGTATGTTGTTAATCACTTACCGAGAATCTGTTGTGGCAAAGAATCTTTCAGCCTCAAGGAGTAACCTTTTCCAGGGGAGACCGTGGCATGCAGCCTGGTGCTGTGTAGGAGAGCTCCATGGGCACTGGACTGCCTACTAGTTACAGAGCAAAATAATTGACTCAGTCATGTTTGCATCCCCGCTACAGAAGTTAGTTGTTTGTTTTGCAGACTTGGCTCGAGTCAGCCCTTGACCAGTGGTTAGGGGGGCATGTTGCACAGCACGTTGGCTATCATGCTGTTATCTGTCTCCCTGAACCCACTTTGAGTCAGATGCAGCCGTCACAAGCAGACCATCTATTACCCACCAGCATTGGTGGTTATCACATGAGCAGAGCTACAGGAAATAAAGATTGGGTTGTAGGGGTGGAAGAAGCACATCACCACATGGCCCCAGTCAGTTTGTCACAGTCTCTCCTCCTTCTCCCAAGGAGAGTCAGGGCTGGGGCTGCTTCCCATAGGAGCCCCAGCCGTGCTGCTTTCTCCTGGGTGTTGTGCAAGTGTTGGGGTGCCTGGCCCACAGAATTCTCTAGATCCGAGCTGTGCCTTGCTCAGGTGCTTGTGTTGTGCCAGGGAGTGTTATTGCCACAGTGATGGTTTGGAGATACTGAAAACCAAAGGCTTTCACCCCCCAGGAAGGTAGGGCAAAGAAATTGGTCAGAGTAGGATCCTTGGGGCAGCCTGTAGCAGTTCCAGGATGCTTGAACTCCAAATCTCAGTGGTGTTGTTTTGTTAATCTCCTGGTGAAATACAGGAGAACAAATGTGTACACCACTGTGTGTGTAAGTAACAAAACTGCCTGTGTCATCCCTTGCGCAGGACTCACTGAAGCATTGACTTTATTAGCACATTTAGATAAGGCTTGATAAAAATTGGCTGTCGGTTGCTTGGTTCTGTTTACACCATTTCTTCAAAGCTGTTTGCTCTGCAACATGATGTTTTCCTCTCTTGAGGGAGTCAGTCTGACAGCTGCCAAAGAACGGGGACAGCTTGTCTTCCTGGAAGGCCTCAAGTCCTGCCTTGACCTGTGGTTTGGAGAGCAGGAGGAGCAGTCGGGACAGCCCAGTCCTCTTCAGTTTTTAAGGTAAACCGGACCAGTTGGACCACGCCACCTTTGGGCTTCCCTCTGAGGCCCAAGGACCTTACTCCTGCTGCACACTCAAGGGAAATGCCATCACCATGCACATTGCTGTGCATGCCTGGCCATGCCTTTCTCTGCTGCTCGAAGAGGGATTCTGCCCCCCTTCTCCAGCATTTTAGAGCGATTTCGATCCCCATCCCCATTGCCGAGCATGTTTTGGGTCTAGAGAAAATCTGTTTCAGCACTAAACAGGTTTGTGTCAAAACTCCGAGAAGCTTTATTCCTTTTTAATTGTGTTGAGTTATATTCTCATCCAAAAGAACAGAGCTGCTTTAATCATGCTGGCTTTCATTTTTATTTCTACTTCGCTTTCTTCACCCACTTCACTTTCTCCATGCCCCTCATGATTTGATAGAAAAATATCCACTGAGGGCTGTTAAATTGGCCAGTACCAGCCTTGGAGCAAGGACTGCCGTGTACTTGGTGTGTCCATGGGTGCTTCTGGCCCTCTGCTGTTTCAGACTCATGCTGGGGTGTGTGGGCTTTTAGTGAGAGTGAGGGCAGGCACTGAAACCCTGCAGACCCCTGTACTGTGGGACCATGTAGCCCTTTAGGTCTGGGAGAGTGACACTTGCTGGAGTGTGGCAGGATCAAGCACCCCGAAGAAATGGGCCCATGAGAACCTCTTGGTGTTCAACAAGGCCAGGTGCAAGGTCCTGCACCTGGGTCAGGGCAACCCCCAATATCAGTAGAGGTTGGGTGATGAAGGGATTGAGAGAAGTCCTGAGGAGGACTCGGGGGCGTTGACTGATGAGAAGCTCCCCATGACCCAGCAGTGTGCACTTGCAGGCCAGAAACCGGCCGTGTGCTGGGCTGCATCACCAGCAGCGTGACCAGCAGGTCGAGGGAGGGGATTCTCCCCCTCTGCTCTGCTCTGGTGAGACCCCCCTGCAATCCTGCCTCCAGCTCTGGGGCCCTGACATAAGGATGTGGAGCTGTTGGAGCAAGTCCGGAGAAGGCCACAAAGATGCTCCAAGGGCTGGAGCACCTCTGCTATGGAGACAGGCTGAGAGCTCGGCATGTTCAGCCTGGAGAAGAGAAGGCTCCTCTCTCTATGGGAGACCTTAAAGCAGCTTCCAGTGCCTAAAAGGACCAACAAGAAAGCTGGAGAGGGGCTTTTGACAAGGGCAGGTAGGGACAGGACAAGGGGGAATGGCTTTAAACTGACAGAGAGGAGATTGAGATGGGATCTGAGGAAGTTCTTCCCTGTGAGGGAAGATGTTGGTTCCAGTGGTTGAGGGGGGCATGCAATACATGTGTGGGTCACACCCTTTGAAACCTCCTTCTTCTCTTCCAGAGAGAGCACTTCTGACCTCAAAGCCTTGTTTGACTTCGTCCAGGTGTCCCTGACCCCTGCCAGCAGTGACTCCTGGAAGGGCCCTGTGCTGCTGGTGGATGACCTCAGTGTCCTGCTCAGCCTGGGTGCCACGCCGGTGGCGGTGCTGGACTTCATCCACTACTGCAGAGTTGTGGTGTGCTCCCAGCTGAAGGTAGTGCTCCCTCTGCACACAGTGTCCTGTATGCTATGCGTACAGAAGAGCCTCTGGAGCACAGCTTGGCTTTTTTTTCTTTCTCCACCTGTGCATGATGAGGTTTTGAAAGGCTTTGGCCATCCAAGAAATTCCAATTATTGCTTTAGGGCCACTCGCAGGGAGTTGTTAGCCCCTGAAGTACCTGTGTAGGGTCCTTTGCAACTGTTTTCTCAGGAGATGCTGCCTAGAGAAGAGCTGTGCATGATGTGTGAGGAGGGATTTGAGGTGCAAAATAGTGTTTCTTATAGCTTCTGACTCTATAGAGATCTCTGCTCACACCTGTGTTCATGAGCATGTGGGACAGCAGGGAAGGAAATGGGTTACAAAGGTAGCCAGAAGCTGATGAGTCTCCCAAGGGACAGAAATGAAGGTCCATTCAGAAGGCACCTAAGTATCTGCTTTCACCAGTCTTCACTGTTGCTGAGTGTTGCACTGGCTGGTTTCTAAGGACACATGACAATGCAGCACTTCTACAAAGCTCTCCTGAGCTATGTGCTAACTTCAGAGAGGATTGCAGCCAAAAATCTTTACAGTCACATCCATCCGTTGCTATTTACATTGCAGCATCCCCCACCCTGGCCGCTTCTCTCTGCTTGAGTGAGAAATAAAGTAGATGGTGTCAGGTTTTGTTATCCTGCACTTCATATGGTGCCAGGGTATTTGTGCTGTAATGCTGACAAGGGATGTTCTGCTTGCTGAGAATATTTACCTCCAAAACAGCTAAAAAAGATGATAAATCACACTAACACATTTCTGTTTCTGTCTAAGAATGTTCTGAAGCTTCAAAGTACATTTTAATTGACTGGGAATTTCATGTTATTTTAAGTCTTTGGTGACCTGCATGGGCTGAGGCAGAGACTCTTGGGATGTATTTTTAATAGAGTTGGTGGTGCTTTGGGGGATAATTTTGCTTCTTGTGAGGGCTGTGAAGCTTCAAGCATTACAGCTCTGGCTGCATCCGTTCAGCCATGTCTCTGTGTAGCTGTTCTGAATTCATTCAGTTGCTATTAGTATGGCCTGATGGACTGGTTTAACTAGACAGCTATCTTGTAACGAAGGCTTGATGTATTTTTAGGCTGTATGTTATATATATGTACACACAGTATAGGGTTAGCAACCTGTTTCAGAGTTTTATATATGTATCTGCTGTTTATATTCTCTGTGGACTTAGCTCAGAACCAGCTGCTGTGCTGGGGATGTCTAAGTAGCTTAGCACAGCATTTCACAAGCTCTCCTTGTTGTCTCCTCTTCCTTACCCTGATTAGGGATTAGGAATCAGCCAGGGGCTCATCTCTGCCTGGTGCTCTCATTCCAGGGCAACATTGTGGTGCTGGTTCACAGCAACGAGGATTCCGAAGATGAGGAAAACGAACTGGTTGTGAACTCCCTGTGTCATCACAGTGACCTGATCCTGTGGGTAGAGGGGCTGGCGACCGGCTTCTGCAAGGATGTTCATGGGCAGGTAATGCATTGGAGAGCATGGAGAGGTGGCACATGGTAATGTCACGTAAAACACTGCCTGCAGGCCCAAGGGTGGGTGAGACGTTCTTTCTGCCTCACGGGAAACAGTCTGTGCTGCAGCATGGTTAAGGACTAACAAGCAGCCTTGTTGCAGTGACTAGGATCTGCTGGAGCAGCTGGGCTCTTTTGGCTGTGACTGCTTCCACAGGGATAGTCAGGGACATCTTGCCACCTGGGGACTCCCCCATCTCTGGAGGCTGGAAGGAGTTTATATGGCAGCTGCAGTGCAGGCTGTATCCCACCCCAAGGTGATGGCAAAGAAGAATACCCATTCCCTGGGAAGCTGCCTCAAACTGTCATAGAATCACAGAGTGGGTTGGGTTGGAATGGACCTTAAAGCTAGTTCCAACTAGACAGAAGGCTATCATGTCAGTGGATCTTAGCCTGGCCTGAAGTGAGTGCTTCTGGGCAGGGAGGGCAGCTGGGTCACTGGGGCCTTGTTACTCCATTGTCTCTAGTCAGGGGCTGCCAGCAAAGGGACTGGTTACAGGCAGATGTGACAGGTTTTTAATCAGTAATCCTTCTGATCTCCCTTCCCTGCAGGCCAGCAAGAGGCACTGGGGGGTGAGGGTGCTGTGACTGGGGTAGCCAAAGGGATGATATTCCTATTCCTTTCCCTTTGCAGATTAAAATAACTAGGAGAGTGTCATTGGAGCTGACGGGGGAGCAGGATGTTGTCCAGATCTACCAGTACAAGATCCAGGACAAGAACGTCACCTTTTTTGCTAGAGGGCTGTCGGCTGCAGTCCTGTGATGCTGTGATACAGCACAGTGCTGCAAAAGCAACACGGAGCAAGGCTGGGGAGGCCAGTACATGCCACCAAACCAGCCCTGATGCTCCACCAGCACCTTCCAGGAGCAGCGCAGCAAACTGACCCAGGAGGGAAGCTTAAACGTGTGTTGAACTGCATGCCAACGAGAGGATTAGCCTGCCCAGAGCTTGCTGCAATCCCTTTGTCCTCCCACCCTGTTCCCAACATACGTAGGCCAAGAAAAGTGCACAGACTTGCCAGAATGGCCCTTACAGCGTGTAAATACAAGCAGGAGGGATGCCCCTTGGGCTGGGCGTGCCTCACCTTTTCCGGTGTGTTATGGCATGGCAGTGCCAGGCACCGCTGCTTGGAGGGATCACCCCACCCTCCAGCTGGTATTTACTGAGATGACACAGAGAGGGTGGAGACAGGGATGGTCTGGGAATGTGTTGCAATTCTTACCTTTCTCCCAGCTCTGGCACAGGAGAGAGATTTGCTCAACTTGCAGCTTCCACAGCACTGACTGAAAAAATCAATGGCTGTATGTACAGCCCCTCACCTTGCTATGTGTGTCAGGTTATCATGCAGCTTCTCAAGCTCATTCTTGGCTTTAGGTGATGGATGAACACTTGTACATGAGCCTCTGTCTCAGCCAATGCTTCCATGGCACAAATCATGACTAGCAGTTCTATGACCTGCCTGTAGCGAAGCATTATTGGGGGCTAATAAAAGCTTATCTTAGGTAAAGGGTACAGTCATCAAGTAACCATAGATCTCTGCATGGGAAGTGCTACCCACAGGCTCCTTGGCAGGGAAGAGAAATGGGCATCTCCTGAAAACAGGTGAGGAGATAGATTTGGGTCTCTGGAGCAGAGCTCAAACCTGGAGGTCTCCTTGTAGGTGCTCTGGTTGTAGTGGAAGATAATATCCTGCACGCTGGTGATACATGAGGGTGACCTACCAGGTCCTTTGCTGCTGCAGAGCCTGGGTAACAACTCTGCATGTGGGACATGTTCCTGCTGTTTTCCACCACCTGCTGATGGTGCCTGCCCTGGCCGTGATACTGCTGCCAGTGCTGTCAAAGCCCTGCACCCTGCCCTGGCAGAAGCAAGCTGGTGGCTTGGCCTCCTCCCGAGTCACACCAACCCTCAGGCTGGTGCATGCTGTGCCTTGCTGGGGTAAAACGTGTTTCTTGGCTGCCCGCTGTAGGAGCGGCAGAGCCCACCATTGCCATTGCCAGCTCAACATGGTGGCAGAGGCAGGGGGACAATGGACGGTCACCATCTGCAAAGGAAGGATGGGACAACTTTGGGGATGGGAGCTGCAGGCACTACAGCTGCTTAAAATGCACCTGTAATGGGCATATAATGGTGTGTAATTGAAGCAATACCTGTATGATTAGCTTCCCCTTGGAGAGATCCCAAACCATCCCTGCTCCAAGCTTTGCTGAGCCACCCGGTGAGGCCATGACCCAACCAAGACCTTGCTCTGAAGCTGAAGCTGTGGGAAGAGATGCGATTGATGGCAGAACAGGGTGGCCTTGGCAGGGTCAGCCAACATCTGTGTGCTTGGGGCCGCGCTCCCCGCAGCTCTTTGTTTGCTAGCCAGAGGTTGTGTAATGCTCCATTCCAACCGATAGAGCAGGTGGGACTTGGACTAAGCTCTCTGGTCTTTGTTCCCTCAGCTTTGATGGGAGCAGCCGGGGCCTTGTCAAGGGAGCAAAGATGGGAAAGGCCTACCAAGGCTGGGACTGGTGGGATGGGATGCAGGCCTTTGGGAGGGGGTTTGATGCAATGGTATCAGGCAGGGCTGCCAGCAGCAGAGACTGTTGAAAAGCACTGGAGCCTGAGCTGCAAGGCAGGCCTTGTAAAAGTTTGGTTTGTGGAGGATGCTTGCTCAGCCCCTGGAGACAAACACGCAGGGGCTGCCTTTCCCCTGTCCCATCTTTGCTCCTTTTCTACTTCTCACTCTGGTTTCCAGCTACAACCTGTCTTCTTAGGGCCACTGTCTTCTCTGGCATCACCTCTTTCCTTGCAGGGCTTCCCGCAGGATTTCAGAAGTGATGTTTGGCACCCAGGAGCTGTGCTGAGGGGTGATGGCAGTGCTGGCAGCACCGGTATGGGCCCGGCTGGCTGTTGGGCAGTGGCAGCTTGGCTGCCATCCTCTGTCCCTCTCTGGCTCTACCAGCACTGGAGCTGCTGGGTCCTTTGCTGCAGATCTCAGCCTGCCCATGGCTTCCTTCACATCTGGGGAAAATAAGCCAGTGACTCTGCTCTGATGCCACGGGGAAAGCCCTGGCCCTGTGGGCACCTGATGCCGCACTGCGTGGTATCCACACCATGCCAGGGCTGAGCTGGCAGGCCCAGTGTGGGCATTCCTAGGACAAGAAAAAAAAGATTGCCTGGCCTTTGGGTACCACCTTTCCCTTATCCTGCTGCTTTTGCTCTCCTTCGAGGGCAGCAGCCCTCTGACCCACCCCAAACCACGTGCTCCCAGTGTCTGGCCTGTTCCTGTTCCACATAGCTCCAGGTGCTGGAGTCCCCTCCGTCCCCTGCACCAAGCCACAGGGCTCCCAGTACAACGTCCTCCCTCCTGGTCCACTCTACCCGCGATGGCCCGCGTCTCCTGGTGCCCGATCCTGCCTTTCAGCTGCTACATCCACCCTGTGCCTCAGGGCTCCTACGCATGCCCCCGTGCTCCAGCCCTGCCATTGCCCGGTGTGTGGGTCCACTCTCCCTTCTTAACTCCTTGTCAGCCGGGTCCCGGTCAGCCCCTCTCCCACGATCCTCCCTGTGCACCAGGACGCCGTGCCCCAGCTCCCGCTCTGTCCCCTCTTCCCTCCATCTCTATTCCACGTGCTCCAGCTACCACCACGCCGCTTCTGCCCTCCCACATGACCGCTGGCGCGCCCGCCCCGCTGGAGGCGTGGCCAGAGGGCAGAAGGGGGCGTGTCCAAAGAGCTAGAGGAGAGGGCTGTCTGTCGGGGGCGTGGCTCGGGGAGGAGGCGTGGCTGGAGGAGGCGGGGGGCGTGGCCTGCGTTCGGCCCGTACGTTCGCGCGTAGGGCCCGGTGGCGGCATTGGGGGGAGGGCGGGAGGGGGTGGGAGAAGCGGACCGGGAGCGGTCGGCCGAGAGGAAAGGTTTAGGGTGAGGAAGAAGGGGTTTAAAATAAACCGAAACCCGGGGTAAATTAGAAAGAGAAAAAAGGAAACAAAAAAAAAAAGAACATAACCAACAAAACGGATTGAGCGGCCGCGAGGAGGTCAGAGGTCGGAGGTGAGGCGGAACCACCGGTGAGGTGAGCGGCACCGCCGAACGCGATCGGTCCCCGATGGACACCGAAATACCCCTCCCCACCTCCCCCCTGCACACCGCGGTCAGCTCGGCTCCCGCCGGGCCCGGGAGCGCGCCTTCCCCTGAGGCAGCGCGCGCGTGGGTGAGGGGAGCGCGCGCGCCGCCGCGTCTTTCCCCTTCCCCCCCATTCCCCTTCCTTCTTCCCCCTTTAACGCCCGTTAACGATCGCCCGCGTCCCCCCCCTCTTTCTCCTTAGGTAACCGCGGCCTTCAGGCCTCTCCCCGGCGGGAAGCCCGAGGGGAGGCCCCTCAGGCGGGAATGGGGGCTCCCCTCCCCTCGTGGGTGTTTTGTGTGTGAAATTCGGGGTGCGCAGAGGGGGCCGGTGGGTGCGGAGGGGGCCGCTGTGTCCCTGTGTACCCCCCCCAACCTGTGGTGCTTCAGGTGCCGGTCGAATTTGGCTGTGGAGGGTGATGAGTGTTTTGGCTGCGGAGGGTGGTGAATTTCTTCTTTGCGGTTGCGTTTTGTTCTGTAAATGTGTTTTCTAACAGCGATAACCGAGCGAGGGTGCTGGCAGAAAGAGCAAATACCGATTTGTGTCGTTAGCAAAGGTGAAGGTGCTGTCCCGAGATACGCAGATGAAGTGATGCCCTTCCCCGCTTGGCGCCTGAGGAGGAAAGAAGCAAGTGGAGGTGGTGGGAAGGGAAGGAGGGTTGGGGTTGGGTGCTTGTGCAGGGGATCTGCTAAGGGTCACGGCTGCTCTGCCTGCCAGGCCATTCCCGGGGAATCGGGATCAAGGTAGAGTGTTTAATGCTTAGGAAAGTGGGAGTCATCAGGCTGAGGTATTGGTGGGCTGGAGGAGAGCAGGGAAGGGGGGGAAGTGGGAGGCAGTGTGCCTGAAAGGGATGTAGAAAGTTGTGGTGGGGCTGGTGGGATGGGACTGAACCAGTGAAAGAGGTGAATGAAGGAAAGAATGAATCACCTGGTGCAGAATCAGAACACGCTTCATAGAAAAGAAGGGAGAAAAATGACTTGAGTATGTGAAAGGGATGACTGAAACGTGGAGGAAAATACTGTGCCAGGTTTATGTGGAATACTGGTAGATTGTGACCGACCTCTTTATAACCAGGACTGTTCTGCTGCTTTGGTTTTGCAGTGACTTCTCTGTGCAGTGACAGCGAGGTGCTACAAGTACCTGTCACTCTGCTGATCACCCCACTCTGTGGAGTTGGGTTGATATTTAGGCATCAGCTTCCTTGCATAAGACCAAATGAGCATCTCAGGATTATTTTCTCATCTATTGAGCAAGGAGCTGTTTGAATCCCGAAGTGGTGCAGTTGTAGGTTTGTCTGGGAGAATCCCGAGGGAAGAGCTGCTGCCTAGTGCCAAAATTTCCTCACTGCAACGTCCTAGGGTTGTTGAAAGGCAAATTAGGCTTCCTTTCATGAAAAGGGCAAAGATGAGGCATGATCTCACTCTTTGTGAAGCCCAGAACTGTTATGTCAATGTGCTAGTGTGATAAATTTAGGATTACACGAGCTGTTGTGTAATGCAGAAGGGAGATTACCTGGCTCCAATTCAGGAGGAAGGAAACAACCCTGGGATTTTAATTGAATGTGTGACACACTGAGAGCTGTGCTGTTGGTCCCCGAGTCCTTCCACGAGAACAGTTCCTCTCGGCATTTCCAGTTACAAAACTTAACTCGTTACAGTGCCACTTATTGGTCTAAATATGATTCCAATATAAGAGCAAAGAGGAATCAGGTTTCATCTCGGGAGCATTAAAATAGTTTTTTAAGTGTCAAAATCTCAGAGATGTATGAATTTGTCAGGTGCTCTCTGCATTCAGCTGTTGAGGTCCTCAATGTTACTTTCATTCAGGGGGTTGCTAGGCCTGGCAGTTGTCAGAGTTCATTTTACTATGCATAGGGAAGTTCTGTTTTGTTTTGTTTTACACTCTCTGATGAGCAGAACTTGAAAAATAGAATAAGTACAGTTTGACACATATATAGTTTTACCTGTGTATAGTGGAATGCAACAGGTGGAAGGGGAAATAATACAGCAGTTTCAGTGGATCTTTTATAAGAGCATGTAGGGACAGGACAAGGGGGAATGGTTTTATACTGGCAGAGGGGAGATTTAGATGAGATGTGAGGAAGAAGTTCTTCCCTGTGAGGGTGGTGAGGCCCTGGCACAGGTTGCCCAGAGAAGCTGTGGCTGCCCCATCCCTGGCAGTGCTCAAGGCCAGGTTGGACAGGGCTTGGAGCAACCTGGTCCAGTGGAAGGTGTCCCTGCCTATGGCAAGGGGTTGGAACTGGATGGGCTTTAAGGCCCAGTCCAACCCAAACCATTCAAGGGTTCTATGATCTTGTGACCTGGGCATCCTTTCTGTTCTCACTGTGACTGACATTGTATGCTGTGCTTGTGGAACTGACAGACCTGGCTTTGGCTTTCCAGGAAGCTGCAGCCATCTGTCTCCCATTTTACAGAAGGCTTGCTTCAGCGTGCTGTGGCAGCATGGAGCCCTGGCGATGAGCAGCACAATCCTCTGGTGGTGTGGTGCTGCATGAGCAAGGAGGAGCTGGTGGTCCATGGTGTTGAGGAACTTAGTCCTGAGTATACAACGAGATTGAAGATAGAAGTAGACTGAGCTTTACAAGCATTCCTTAGTTGTGATTTCTGGTGTTATGGTTCATTCAAAGCTTATATGGTGTATTAAAGGGTGAGAAGGAAAGGTCTGAAGGAACTTCTGCTGAGCAGTTCTGTGGCAGTGCAACCTTCTGTTTCAATGTCTGTAAGCTATTACTGTTCACAACCAGAGTATCAAAAAGAAGGTGGAGGAATGGGGGCTTAAAGGTGGTTGTCTTCAAGTGAATCTTTTAATTTGCGTTCTTAGGCGAGGGGACAGCCCTGGTGTTTCAGAATAGCTGGGGTCTTTTCTGCATAACATGATGGGTTTCCTTGGGAGGTGAATAAAGTTCTAAGGCTCCTGCCAGTAAAGAAGCGAGTTTCAGCTCAGTGAGAGTGCGGTGGTGAACAAGGAGGGGAGGAGGGTTGCATTGCTTTGGTAAAAAACTGAATTAATCTTGTATGGGCCATTGTGATAAAGATGCCATGGAAATAATAGTTGGTTTGTTTTCAAAAGACAATGTCCGAGTCAGACTTTCAGACTCGTTGTCTAACAGGGTAGTTTTGGGATTGTTTCATTGGGAAGAAAGAGCTTAGTGATTTGCTGATCCCGAGTTTTTAACTGGTGAGTATTAGAAAGAAAAATATTTAGTTCTGTGTGATGCTAGAGGTGACAAAAGCTTCCTTCTGGGATATGGGGAGTCCTGTGAGTTTGCTAATTCAGCCTTGCCAAATGTTGCTTCTGTAACCTAGAACCTGCTGAAAATCAATCCTGGGCAAGCGAGTCACCTTACAGGTGCTTGTGTTCCCTTGTGCCTTTACAAACCTGAAAGACCTCAAAATGCAGGCTCTTTTATGATGGAAACTTTTCTGATTAAAGGTTTGGTGCTTTTATTTTTGAGGGGGCAGTGCACGGAAATACATGCTGAAATGTATGTCTCTAATTTTTGCTTTCTATTTCATGGACTAGGTGGTCAGAGCTGTGTTCGTCATCTCCTTATCTCTGTCACTGCGAGCATCCTGCCTGTGAGAGTATCCCTGTTAAGTAGGTGACTAACACAGCCAAAACTTCTCAGCATCAAGGTTTCAAAGTGAAAACAGCACTAAAGCTTTAATGTCTAGGAGTTGTAGAAAGGGGTCTTTGTTGAAAAGGAAGTGTGTTTTCCCAGAAAGCCACAGGTAGATTTCTCTTTATCTGCCAAAACCCAGAAGTTTCAAAACCCTTTGCTTGACAGCAGTCAGACTGTACCCAACTGGTACCACACCAACAGAGTCCTTCAGAAATGGAAGACTTTTGGTTTATATGTTTCCACAACATATTTTTCAGGAAAACAGTAGGGCTTAATGCATAACTTGGTTTGCTCGAACTCTAGTTGGTTAGGAAAGTCCTACAAGTCTTTGTTGCAGCAGAGTGTTTTTAATGTGACAGAGTGGCTTACTCAAAAGTGATTTCTGAGGCTTTTAAAGGGGAGATTTTCTTCAAAGAGGCAAATTGACCCAGTGTAGGCTGTGATCTTGGTAAACCAAAATACTACTGTGTCACCAATAGCGATGGCCAAACCAATGAAGATGGTGGTGAATTAGTAGTGATGCAAAAGACGCAATGAACATAGATTCATCAAGCCCCTTCTGGCAATGTAGATTTCAACAGGAGGGTACCTGTAAAAGTTTTTCTGCCCTTCTGCTGAAATCGGGGCCACAACTGGTATCTGCACAGCAGAGGGACTGTGCCTTTGCATGGGGAGGTGGAACAGTATGAGGAAAATGCAGGAGCTTGCTAGAAGTGTTTACATAGATGTAGTTTACCTGGGAAGGGTTTGAGAAACCTGCCACAACGGTAGCACCCAGGGTTGCAGAGGCTGCCTGACCATCAGCAGGGGTGGTGTGGTTGATAAATGAGCCATGTGTCCTTTTGAGGAGTACGTTTGCCTGTTCTAAGCATGTCTGAAAATGTTATTGCCTGCCTTAACTTTCCTGTTGCATGAAGTGTGCATGTTAAGCATTTATAGTGGCACAATCTCTTTAAAAATAGTTGCAGTAGAAGGTGTTATTCAGATATAAAGAGGAGACCATCTATTTGAGAAATAAAAGTGAAAACCATACAGTCAGGATGTATGGGCCTAAATTAAATAGGCTTTTCTTTTAAATACAGATTATCTAATTCCTATTTCTGGACCAAAGGAGAGTTTCGAATCATGAAATGTATTCTTTGCAGGGAAAGGAGCCTTAGCTATAGATAAAGAATCAGGAAAGAAGTCATGCTCAGTTCAGGTACTTGGTTGATGAGGTAAATGAGTAATTTCAGCTGCAGAACTGTTGAGGAGAAAAAAAAGAGCGAGTCCCACTTGCAGGGCTGCATCCAGCTCTGGAGCACCCAAT